TTGCACTATGCTTTGCCCTGGTCAGGGGCAGCTGAAGTATTATCTTCTATTCCAGATGCCCCATTTTAAAGATGATGTTTACAAGCTGGGGAGGGTCCAGAGGATGTCAACCAATATGGCAAAGAGTCTAGAAACCGTGTTATGTGGTAGAGCTGTAACAAGGAATCTTAGGGCCCTGGGGCAAATTTGGGCAGGATGACCAGGTAGGGTATAAGACCACATGAGGAGAGAGATCTGGGCTCCTGCCCCAAGATGGGAGACAGGGGCAGCACACTCCTGGGGGCGGAGACCCTCAGACACAATAGGGGCAGGAGGCCCTAGCACAAAGACCTCAATGACGGAACCCTGGGAGTGTTGCTGGCTCCAATCAGGCAACAGAGAGGTGACAGCCATACAATTTGGGGCCACTTTTGTCTTCTCGAAGATCATAGTGGAGGGAAAGTGTCCTCGCCCACATTGCAACTCCCTAGTTGCTGCGCCCTAGTTAAAGGTCTTTATGCAATACAACCACCCCTTCCACATCATGGGGGACACTGTGCCCCCAAGATCTGGAAAATCCACGTCGACCCTTCACCTTCATTTTCCTTTAGGAAACCATAAAGGACTTGGCCTTTTCTCCTACAATGCCAGCGTCTACTGGAATGCCTTTTTGTTTTTTTTTAAATATAACAATCCTGCATTTCTGAGTTTCTAAACTTTATCTGTGTCATCTGCGGCTTCCACAAAACTCTTAAAAAATTCCTATTTCATTTCTTATACCGACCCACGATATATGAAAACTGCGATGGGGACAGCCTCAATGTGGAAGAGATAGCTGTAAATAGTTAAAGGACCTGGGGATGTTTAACTTGAAAAAGAGAAGATTTGGGAGGTGGGTGGTGGGAGCGCAATAGTAGGGGGAGGGGGACAGAAGGGCAGTCACTAAGGTACAATATTTGAAGGACCGTCATATGCTTCACCTAAGACACTCAGTCTCCAGAATCTGACCCCTTGGTGGTCCTCCCTACCTGGCACGCTTTCCCTTCTTTCCACCTCCTAGCTTCCTGCATTCTCAGCTAAAACACCATCTTCTGTGAGAAAGCCCTCTCATGGCTGGTGCCTTCCTTCCCAGATTACCTCCAATATTTCCTTATGTATTTTGTTGGCACGTACCAGTAGGTGTGTTATCTTGCTGGTTCGACTGTAAGCTCCTTGAGGACAGGGGCTGTTTTTTGCCTTTTTTGGTAACTCTAGTACTTAGCCTGGTACATAGTAGGCCCTTGATAAATGTATTTGTTGACTGACTCTAGGATCCAACTTCTGGTACCTCTCTCCCAACACTTACTTGTATTTATTTTGGTTTTATTCTGAATATCCTTGTGCTCATACTTGCATCTCCCCCATTAGAATGTATACTCCCTGAAGGCAGGGACAGTCATCCTTGTCATTGTATGCCCAGCCTAGCACAGCATAGCAGAATTCCTGGCACTTACTACATGCCTGTTGATTGATCGATTGGAAGAGGGAGCCGATTTATTTTCTATAATGCCAGTGAAATGGGGAGGCAGTCCCATTTCTGGCCCATCTCTAAGGAAAAATTTTCCAAGAAATGAACACTGTCTAAAAATAGAACAGACTGTCTTGTGAGGCAATGACTTCTCTGTTGTTGGAAGTGTTCAGGCAGAGTGTGAATACTCTCATCGACATTGTGGAAGGCATGATGTGGAGGGAAGAACCCTAGATTTGGAGTTGGAGATTGGGAAGTGTAGTCGTTAAAATACTAGCTTTGTTACTCACTACCTGTGTGACCAAGGTACCTTAGTTTCCCTCTTAAGAGGGTTGAACCAAATGATTTCTGATGAATGGTCCCTACAACTGTAATCTCTGTGAATTCTCCCATGGATTCCTGCTTGGGGGTGGGAGATTGGGCTGAATAAGGTCAAAAATCTCTTCTCCTAGGATATCGTGGGATTTCTGAGGATCCTTGGGGATGGGATAGCTGATGGGAAGGAGAGGCTCCTTCCTCTCCCCACCTCCAGGTGGGGGTCTGTGGGCTGGTAGGGGGGAAGCCCCATGATGGGAGGAGAAAAGAACACAGCTGAGCTTCTCTAGTCTCCCACACTCAGACTCGATTTAGAGGTGCAAGGAAGGTGAGAGGGAGGAAGTGGTGAACGTGGGGAAAGAGAAGAAAGGGTCCCTGGGAACCTGAGGGCTTGACCCCAGACTGACCCTAGGGAGTCAGTTTAAACCATTTGTGAGCAGGGCCCTGCTCTGTCCCCAGGGGAAGAAGAGGAATTCAAGGTCCGTAGGACATGAGGTGGTAGATTTGAAGCTGGTGGGACTTCCGGGGTCATTGGGTCTAGCCCCCTCATTCTACAGATGATGAAATTGTGGCAGAGGAAGGAGGTGATTTGATCAAGGCCATGCAGGTGGTAAGAGGCAGCTAGGTGGTCCAGTGGATAGTGTTGGGTCTGGGATCAGGATGGACCCGAGTTCAAATTCCACCTCAGATCCCCACTAGCTGTCTGCCTCAGTTTCCTCAACCGTCAAACGGACATAATAACAGCATCCACCTCAAAGGGTTGTCGTGAGGATCAAATGTAAACTGTCCAGCCCTTCGTAAATCTTACAGCGCCATGTAGATGGCAGCCAGTCTTATTAAAGGGTAGACCTAGGATCTAAATCCTCCCTTCTGATCCCAGATCCATTCTTTTTCCCTCCTGGCTTCTCTTTGATCCAGGAAACTGCCTTAGTCCTTGTCTGTCACCAAAGGAACAATATTTTTTAAATGGATGTCCATGCCAGGGCCCTCCCACAGCCAGGCTCTCTCCACTTCAGGGAGGGACAAGCATTCAACCCAGTGGGTCGTATATTTAGAGCTGGAAGGTACCTTAGAGGTAGGCCTCGTTTTACAGTGTAAGGAGGGGTTATTTCATTCATTGAATTTGTATCCCCAGTGCCTAGCATAGTGCTTAACACATAGTGGGCATTTAAGAAACATTTTTTGGTTGGTTGGTGGTGGGCATGTCACTTAACTTTTCCCTGCCTCAGTTTCCCCATCTGTAAAATGAGGATTCCAGCCTCTGTGGCTGGTTCTCTTCCCTGACCACCACCCACACATGTATTATGGAATGTAAGCTCCTTGAGGGGAGGGGCTGGCTTGATTTTAAAATTTTTATCACCAGCTTTTCTTCTAGTGGCTTGTAGCACATAGTAGGCTCTTCAAACATGCTTGTTGATTGATTGATCATAGATTTAGAGCTGTAAGGGACCTGAGAGGCCATCTAGTCCAATCCTTCCATTTTACAGGTGAGGAGACTGAGGCCAAGGAAGTGAGCAGATTTGTCCCAAGTCTCCTCAGGAACCAGGGCCTGCTGGCCAAGGTCAGGGGGAGGGTGTGCACAGGACGTGTTTTTAAGGAGGATCTGCATTTGTGACTGTTTTACTCATCATATTCTTAAGTCTAGACCATGACAAAATGATCAGTCAAACCCTGATGGGTAGCAAGGGATGTTTTCTGAGGAGTCTCCTGTAAGAGCCGGCTCTGGGACACTTTCCCTGCCCAGGCAGCAAGTGGTAAAGCCAGGAGCTGAATCTGCTTTCCCTAACTTTAGCTCCAGGGTTCTATTTACTGCAGTGAAATGACTCTTTATGGAGGAAGGAAGGAGGGAGAGAGGAAAGGAAGGAAGGAAGGGAAGGA